ATCGAGCGAGGTGGACATCCCGACATGGAATTTCTTCAGATCTCCCTCTGACTGCTGGCCACTGTCACTACCTCGAGCACCGGAGTCTGAGACCTGTGCGGATCCCAAACCATCGCCTGCTTGGATGTTCTCTGGGGTTGCTAAAGGATTATAGGGCTTAGGACACTTGCTATCAGAGTGCTATCCCTGTGGTATGTCTGCACTATGTCAGTGCTATGTCAGATGTATCTCCTATATGTCTGCTATGTGTGTAGCTATCTCCGAACCATGGATAGTAAACGGTGGCGGATAGCTTAATGCTTAGCTGGGTTAGCTAAGTGGTTAGCTAAGTGGTCATGCATTTTGCTATCCCTTTACTATGTACTTATTATGTGGATAGTTAAGTAGTTACTAAACACTTAGGGCAGGGAGACGCTAAGTACTTAGCTATCAAATAGCTAACAGCTTAGCTATATTGATTATTGTTTTTCATTAATTCTTTATGTTTGTTGCTTTGTATTTTAATGTCAGCAGCAAGTTTTGGAACAGTGAATTTTATATTGTTTGGAGCTGTTCTTTGTTTTGTTTGATTTGATAAGTAAAATATTTTGTATAAATGAAATAACCTATATACATAGTGGGCGCTTTTGTCAACGAGGTGCAGTGCATTGATGCAACAACATACATTGAAGAACAATTGTACAACATGCATGTGTGTGCCATGACATGAAGCATTGACATTGTTGAGAGCAACAAACTTGACATATATAAACTTCACATTTATCTAAATAATTAGATTGCAGCAGGAGCATTGCAAGCACACATGAATGCTTTGACTGTCATGTTCAAGAGAGTTTCCAAAGAGTTGTGCTGCATGCAGGTTGCAGGTTCATTTGGTTATGTGTTTGCTGCTACCATTTTCAGTTATGAAAGCAAACACTGTCAGACATGTTAGATGTCAAACCTTCACTGGCTCAAGATTGTTCAAGCATTGATTGCTCAAACATTGCTGTGATTCATTTCCTGAACCTGTTGTTGCAGAATGTTGACTTCAGAAATCAAATCTGAAGTGAACCAGATCTTGGAGCATGATGTGGGTGACTTGGCAAAGTGGAAAGCCCTTTGTGGCTACTTCTTGGATAAAAAGATTTGCTACTATACCACCATCAAGGTCCAGGACATGCTTGTGCATGGCCAAAACAGAGGTGGCAGTGGCATTTCAGTGCACAATGCTCATGCCAAGGGCCAGATCATTTTGACAGCAGGTTGTGACCCAACCTTGCTGCAAAGTTCAACTTGAGTTGAAATCAATCCTGATATGACCAAGAGAGCAGCTCAAACAGCTTGCAGTGAAAGCCTTTGGAAGGCTCACCAAGATTTTTTTGCAAAGCCCCATGGAGGAGAGAGGTTCCTTTCAGTGTCATCATCTCATTTCTCCCAGTTTTGCAAGGCTATAGCTTCAGGCTGCAAGTCTCCAATTGCAGAGCTGATGGATGCCAATGGCAGAATGTCGGCTGCTTTGCATTCTCATGGCCATGAGTTTGCCAAGATCATTGAAGTGGGGTGGAAGTGGCTGGTCATTCCATGGTTTGTTGAGGCCAGAGTTGTAGCAAACTTAGTGTATATGCATTAAAGAGAAACCACCATGAAAACATTTGTTCTTTGTCCATGCGCAACTGATTTTAGACTGTTGGGCAAGTGATGTAGTTCTCCAAGTGGCCATGCTGCAGGAAGAGTGGCCTTCCTTGCCACATTTGGCACAGAAAGCCTTGAACTCCACCAACCAAGCTTATGAAGCTGTTTCTGAGCAAGAGCTTCTGGCAACCATTGCCAGCAGAGCTGCTTCTTTGACCAAGCTTGGCAAAGAACCTGGTTTTGGAAGCATAGCTAAGGAAGCTGCTGCAGGCCCTATTGCAGCTTATGCTGAAATCCTGGGGAAGTTTGTCCTTTATGGAGGAGGGGGTGCTGATTTCCCATTGATGGCATTTCTGGTATCATTTGTGCCATCCCAGGGAAAGTCAATCTCTTTGGGAAAAGACTTTTGGTCTGCCATTACTGATGCTGAGCTCTCAAAGACCAATCTTTTCAGCCTGACAAGGCTTGCAATGGCAGTGACAAATTTCCTTTCACCAAGAAGCAAGGTTTCTGATGGCTTTGGGAGACTCCTTTCCAAGAGTGACATACAGCAGCTGAAGAACAAGAAGTTCAATGTCATTTTGGGCGACATGGAGAAGATGTTTCATGCAGCATGGACCACTGTTGAGAAAGAGTCCATCATCAAGCAACAGGCTTTTGGCAGGCTCTTGATCAGGTCCTTGCTGCACATCCTGAAAAAAAGCAAGGCAGGCCATGAGCAAAAAGAGTATGAAAGCTTGGAAGCTATCAACCAGAAGTTTGAAGATGAGCTTGAAGCTGCTGGTTCATTGAAGCATGAAGCTGCTGAAGCAAAGGCTGCAAAGGAGCCCTTGCCTTCCTTGAGTGTCAAAGAGGGTATGGACCCTATGACCATTGCAGGCCTGTCATTGAAGCTCACTGTGGGGAATACCTTTACTCACAAAGACCACCCTGGCAAGGTATTCTCCTTGGAGAAAAAGGAAGCAGGTGCATTGCAATTGGCATACCTGGATCCTATCTCCAGCAAAAAGGACATTGTGACCATTGAGGCTGCAGACATTCTTGCCAAGTTGAGATCGACCAAGGCCAAAGCACCTACCATGATTCCAGATGATGTGCTGGAAGACCTCTTTCCCAGTGCAAAGTTCACTAGTGAGATGGAGAAGGCCAAAGCTTTTTTGGCTTTGTGGAATTGCTATGACAAGATGGATTGTGATTCAAATCATATCCAAGTCCTCCAGGATGGCATGAAGCTGAAAGTGTTTGCCAGGAAAGAGTTCAAAGCAAACCAGCTATGCCTGATACCCATCACCACCTCTTGTGCGCACTTGAATGAGAACAAGCCTTCAAAGACATGCCCAACCATCCAGAATCCTGAGACTAAGCTCACCTTCTACATCAATGGGCCTAAGATTTGGAAGAAGGATGAAGACAAGAGTGGCTGCGTTGCTCCCTATTGGCTGCTTTCTGAGCATGAGGAGGGCCAGATGGGAAGCAAAAGCTTCAAATATGAAGGGCATGTGGTTTCAGGCTTCACAAATGTGGCACCCATCAGTGTTGGCCAAGAGATCTTCATCAAAAAACAAGAAGATCCAAAGGATGGCTCCAGAGCAAAGAAGGCAAGGATCAGCAAGTAAGCTCAAAGCTGCATCTGAAGTATGTGTTTCAAGACTAGCCTCAGCTGTAAGTGCGATGAATCTGCCAAAAGGAATTGTGCAGAAGCTTTTTCTGTGGTGGGTGTTTGATAACTTGTAGCTGAAGTCCAGCTGTGCATTTTGTGGAGCTGTGAGCAGTTGCAACCCAAGATGCTTATATATATAATCATGCTTTCCAAGGCATGACCCATCAGACATTCTATATCTATATAAGAAAAGCCTATTTCTATTATGTGTGAAGCATCCTGCTCAAGCTTTGTGCTGACCTATTTCCATTATGTGTGAAGCATCCTGCTCAAGCTTTGTGCTGACTGATTGACTCTTGTGAAGTCCTGTGGAAGATGGAGTCTCCTTCACCTGCCTTAGTCGAACCTATGCAGATTGGCATCAGCTGGCAATGCCAAATCTCCATTGGAGATGATGCAAAAAAATGGATTGCGCCAGCAGCATTGCTGCATGAAGCAGATGACTCATGTAGCTGGAAGCATTGGCTGCAAATAAGAGCGTCCAACTATGGCTTTGTCAAGCTGCTGACAGAAGGAGGGGTGTGGTTTATACGCAAAACACTCTTTCAAACACTGCACCTTCTATTATCAATTCAATTT